CTAACGATCCTAAAGCTGTTATGTATATGGAGTATAAAAACAACCAAAATCTCACGGACGAGGAAAGACATGGAATTGAGTATATCTACAGTGAGTGGGATAGTTTTAGGTCTGACAGGGGAGAGCAGGGAGTGACAAAAGCCTTATCCGGTATACACCTAAGATTAGCGCTTCAGCGTTTCTTTGCCAGTGAGAAAGTATGAGACCTCGGGCGAACCAGGCGAGTCGGCGAGAGGTACGCTAACTAGTAATGCCAGACTTCCGGTGAATCTCTCTGCTTCTCGCGGGCGCGAGGAAACGCGTGTCTCGCAGCGCTAATAATGAGGGCCTAGTCGCAAGCTAACCTTAAATTAATATGCTACAGTTACGGTTGTTAGAAACCTAGCAATCACAGTGGAGCATCATGGGTAACCAGAATTAGTTCTTGCCTGCTATGAAAACACAAGATGAAGAAAAAAACTTGTGCTGATGACGACTTGAATATGTCGTCACATGCAAGGACCAATCATATATGCTAAAACTTTATCATGATGAGCGAATGAAACGAACACTTTAAGGGAAGCATCAATTTCAATATTGTTCTTCATTGGACACTTCCTAGAGTGTTACGCAGTCTGGTGAACCATCTTTTCTCAAATTAGGTTTTTTTGGGGGTTGATGTACTCTTAATAAGTCTCTTTCGTGAAAAGTTGCAAAGCTAACATTTCTAATCAACTTTTGTCGCTTCAGTGCAGGGAACTGCTCAACCAGACTCCACTGAGCGTGAGTATGTCAATGTTATTTGCAGTTACAAGATTATCTAAGCAGTCATTACGGCAAAAAGAAAGATTTGAAAACCACCAAACCGTCTTCTCGTACAAAGTAGTTGTTACTGTTTCACAACCGCTCACATTGCACGGATCCAAATTACATTACAATAGCACTAATGCAGGAGGATTGAGCGACCTTATCATGGATAATTAACATACTGGATAAGTGTAACTAATTCATGAATTTTCGTCCTGTTTGAGTTAGCTCCAGGGAACTGCGTTGATGACGTGCCTTCATGCCAGGATTATGTGGACGAATGCACGGGTAACCATTTTGTGAGGAAAAGTTGCCGTAAATCATGTGGAATTTGCGGTAAGCTTTATTACGCCTATAACTTTGGGTGTGTACTTTGGTTATGGGAGATAGATAGTAATTCGGAAGATCTAGAAAAATCAAGTGTTTGACTTTTTAAAACCAATCTTTTACTTAATTCATTATTTTCCCTTTTCTTCATTTCCAGGTGGTCACAGCGTCGGTGAGTAAAGTGTACTATTTAACTAGCCAATATATGTTGATCCAATCTTATGGAAAAATCGTGGTAAAAAACGCAGAAACTAGCAGAGCTATTTGCACATGTTAAAAAAGGTTGCATCTAATCGCTCTTTAAGGGCTAATTCAAAACTAAGCAGTCGAATGGATTGATAAGTAGCCAAAAATTCAAAATATAAAAGAAATAAACAAATGATTTCAAATGATCTCAACTGGCTGAGGTATCAAAGAATCCATTTAAACATACTTGACACAGCGAAATAACAACTATACAATAACAAGACCTTTAACGATTTTCGTTAAGATAATTTTTGAAATAGGGGTCGAAAATAATCCAAGAGTATATTGCTTTTCCTTTTTTTTTTTCCTCAATCATTTAGACACAAAACTAAAACTAATCTTTCCTTATTAAGTCGCAGTCAGTAAGTTTGCTCGTTTTTATTTCGAATTCACGTGGATTTCTCGTAATATCTACCACTATTCTTATTAGCTTTGTGACTACTAAAATCAAAACAACTTTGCGTTGATCAATTCAAAGCTTCAACATCCCCTCCCTGGCAACGTATTGGGCATTTGAACTTTTGAAGACTGGTTTGTTCAAATTCAAGAGGCCAAAATTATGTTCAAATGCCCAACTCAAGTGCCGGATTTCATGGCCAATTTTTTTTTTGTAAAAGGCAAGATTAGCGACCTAAAGGTAAAACACGTTTATTCCGCCGGAAGGACTCGACAGTTCCGGTTCAAATTCCCACCCTACCCAGGCATGGTTCAAATTCCCCACCAACCGGGCACGGAAGACAGTCAAATGTCCGTGGGTTTCACGTAGGAGGTTTTCTTTTTTTAAGCTTCGAATTGACCGGCGCATTACTCGTTTGATTCTCATTCTTTAGTTAAATTACCCTGCGTTGATAAGTATACGTCGAATTCGTGCCAAATGCTCAAAGGATATAACTACTGCAGCAATTATAAGGCCTTCATGACCGATAAATGCAAAAAGACGTGTGGACTTTGTGCTGGTAAGTGTTTTATTAATACCTGTTCACACCTTTTCTTAATTAATAAGACCTCGCTGTCACTTACGACTGTTCACACTACATTGGTGAGAAAATATTCATCCACTGTCCAGTGTAAACGGAAAAAAGTTTTAGCGTTTTTACAGAGAATATAACCGGTTTCAAATCGATCGCTATTCCTTCTTCAGTGTGAATTGATCCGTTTAATAGTGGGAATGGGAAACTTAAGTTTCGTTTTCCCAGTGGCAACAATGGAAATAAATTAACCGTTAGCCGTAAAATAGCCAAAAATTTTTACCCGCGTTAGCCGTAAAAGCCATCACCCCATTGAGACCCTCTAAAAGTACTTCTTTGGACCGTTAGCCTATGAATCCATCCAGAACAGTCATTCATCTCAATAGAGTCATTAAAATATTGGAAAATCTTTACCTTCGATTCAAGGAAAATTTTATTTTTCTTATTTGGTTGATTTTTTTTCTGTTCTTATTTTTCTCTATTTGTTCTTAGCTGGATAACTTATCATTGGCCCTGGACCGGACATCGTTTTGACGAGAGGAGTAAAAACTGCTTGGTAGAAAATCACAAACTTAGAGAGATTACTCAGTTACTTAAACTGTCTGAAATACATGAGAAAAAACATACACAATAATAAAAGTAACTCGGTAATTTATATAGAAAATTAATTGACATGGCATAGTATGTATAAAACTAATGCCGTTTGATTGTAACTGAGTTGTAGAAATTTGGTAGAAAAATAAAGTCAATCAGAGAAAATTTAGTCTCATATTAATCATCAAGCAGAAAGATTTAATAAACGCTTAATCGTTTTTCTTACGATGTAGGAAGGGTCAGGCTATTAATTTTAACACATCAAAAGTACAACTAAAAGCACGACTCTTTATCGGAGACAAACGATTAAACGTTCATTTACTGATTTCTCTACATACAAAACTGCGATACACAACAACATTTTATAACAAAAAGTAAAATTTGAAGAAACATTATTTTTTTTTGTCTTATCTTTGAGAAATTGAATGTCAAACATACGTACTTCGAGCTCCAACGCTCCACAGGTGAGCCACAGAGACTCAAAGACCAAAAGACTGCAAGGATCAGCAATGTCAAAAGAGCCTCTTTTGATTTAATAGAGTAGGAAAGATGGTGAAATGAAGGCGTGAAAAATAAATTTTATTCATATAGTAACTGGAATCGCATTGTACAAAATCTCATTTGCATGTCGAATGATTTTTGAGAATTGCTCTATTCCTTAGATATTTAAATTGTTGTCTTTTAAATGTAATTCTCTCGTTGGAAAAAACAAATGGGAATTAAGAGTTTTGGTAAGTTTCGCCACTGCGAAGTTACTCATGGAGAGGACTTAAATATGGAAGCGATGACAGAATAGGAGCAAAAAAGCAAAAGGAATGACAATAATAAAAAGGGTAGAAAGCCTTGCCCAAAGATATTCAGGTTTGCCATTACTAAGTAAACTGAGGTGACCTAAATTTTAGTTTTCAAATATCATCCTTATTTGATATTTCACGGCGGTTATTTATATAGGTCAACAAATGATTCATCATGCATGCAGTTTGGTATGAAATGACACGATCAAAGTTTTAGAAGACTGAGATCTCAGATTCCAAACTGATAGAGGTCCCTCAAAAGCTTAACATGTTTCCTCGGGCCATTCATATCTCTCGCGCGAAGGGAAAGTACAAAGTTTTTGAAAGCCACTCTACATCATATCGGGATGACATCGACGTCAAAGCTCATCGTAGCAAAATTTTTAAGTGACGACCACTGCGGTATGATTACCGAAGCTAGAAATAATTCTGTCTATCAAGGTCACGGTTTTTACGAACCACATTTTTTAAGAGCAGTCGAAACCTTTTACGCCTATATCCAAACATTATTGCCGCTAGTCAAAAAGTACGGACGCTTAACATTTTTGCCATAAATAAATTAGGTTCTGTGAAACAAACAGCAGGTCAAACATCATTTATATGTGGTGATGTAAGGATTTTCACAGTTTACGAGCTTTCCAACATACCACTCGTAAAAGAGTGCAGAAGCTTAGAAATAAAGTTCTTCTCGTTAGCTTATTGAAAGAGAGAAAATATCAAAAGATATACCTTTCATCTGACGAGCTATTTCCTTCTTTGAAATTTTGGCACAATCCCGTCCACTGGAACTCCGTTAACACTTTTAAAATTATAGCCAAACATCACCTCTTCGCCTCCATCAGCTTCGTTTTGACCGCCATTTGCAAATCCGACAGAATCACCATAGAAACATTAGTTACCAGTTTTTTCTTTAAATAAGTCTTGCAAGAGGAGTGGTTACCTGGATTTTTAAAATGGCGGCAAAATTGAACTTGATCGCCGTTCAATTGCAGTGGAAATGTTGCACATGTACAGGCTTAATTTGGATTCGGTATTGACATTCTAGACAAAGAATAACGAGGAAATTTCGAAGACATAAAGATAGATATTGGATGAAAGGTACCTTTTATTCCCTCCATCTTTTCATCGTTGAAAATTATTCGCCTTGCTACTCGATTGCTACTGTTGCAGGCGCATTATTCTCATCTTTGTGTCTTACTGGGAGGTTTTACATTTTTTAAAAAATCGCCTCAGTTAATTGTACTCCTTTTTGCCATTGGAATATCAGTAAAGACGATGGCACGAGTTTAAGTATTGAGCATTTAAGCTAGTTTATTGGACTTTTCTACGTGACAAAATCAACAATGTTTCTTCATTCTGGTGAAATAAGTCCATTCCGTGTTGTGGCGGGTCCTCACTCTCTATCTAGCCTGCAAAGAAAATAAAAAAAAGCTTCCTAAATTTTGAAAAAATAGCTTCATGTCTGTGACGAGACGACATACCATCATATTGGTATCAGAATAGATCAGGTTTGAACTGAAAATTCGTTGACAAGAACAGTATGTTGATGTTAATGAAAGCAAAACTAGAAATGGAATTTATAGCGGTAAAAGTAATCAAGATAGTGATAATGGCAACTACAGTAAAATTTATAGTTGTGATGATAATTAAGGTAGATGGGTAGTGATTTATTTTAAGAAATAGATTCCATGTTGCCGTGCGTCTGTTCCGTACTACATCATAGATGACGTCAAAATGAAGTACCTATTTTTCTATATGATAAAAAAGCAAAATATTGTTAATGGTGACGTCATCTAGGCGTCTTTCCTCGAATAGATCATAAGTAAGAATTGATCAAAATGCGTGTATAATTCAGCTTATCATATAAGCACTGTTTGATCCACTTACAAAGGCGACACGACTTAGGGCACAATCGTCGAATGTTTTGGTCCCATCTGCAGTACTGCAGATAATGTCGGCAGTTTGGATTCCTGTCACTGCAGCCTTTCAGATCAAAATAACATATTTGCGTAAGAAGTAATTCCCTTTTTTAGTATTGGAAGGTCATTCTGAGTCACTTGCCTCTGCTAACAGGCGACAAACATCAAGGTAACCTTCTTGATGTTAAATCATGAATCTTGCTTTGAACTTTTAGAGGGTTAGAGTATGGGTAAGCCGTACCATTTTAATTGTTGTGATTAAGTGATATTTACACCGGCGATGAAAAAGAAATTGATACTCGTGAACGTATAGTTGAAATCCTTCTGGAATAGGGGGCCAGTTTGACTAACAGCTTAGATGTGAACGCGTTGGCCGAGGCAAAACGCCGTGTCATGCCAGACCCGAAATATTTTTTTCACAAGTATTTGACAATTTTTTTATCGCATGAAATAAAGATTGCAGCTTTTTCCCTACTATACTCCGTGATTGGTTCAGAAACTCGCCCAACCTCCCACCAATTAGATGCAAACCTTAATCGAAATTCGACGACTCACTATTTCCGCCTTCAAGCAGTTGAGGTGCATTCACTTTACAACACGTAATCTCTTTGAAATATTTTCCTTTATTCCCATCGGCTACTGAGATTTCTTAATTTTTGCTTAAGGTCAGCCAATCAGGCCGTGCCCCACTGTAAGGAGTTTGACTCACCTCCTCCTCCACCTCCGCCGTTTCCACCGCCTCCACCTAACGAAGAAATAGGAGAGTGATAGTAAAGGCATACGGTCTTTCCTCTGTTAACGGAAACCTTTCTTCTTCCAGTGTTTGTTACAGTCAAAGCCACACCTTAATCCTTTTTCGCTTAGCGTAGGTTTAAGAGTTGATCTGTGGCACACCCATTTGAGAACGTCAAGATTGTGTGTCTGTCGCTTGCGAATCCACAATAACTTAACTAGGTGGTATCAACATTACATTAGTAACACAAGTAAAGCCTTCACCTGAAAACTTCTACTCAGATGAATAGATGAACGCAGACTAGAGATTGTCTTCCCGTTGCAGCATAACTTTTCTCTCTTTCCAGAAATTCCTATTTCGTAAGAGAATTAAGAACTTACTTGATTGCTTTTGTTTGATCCAATCCACGAAATTGCTCACACGAGCAAACACTGTGTAATGATCTGTCCTGCACTTTCCATGACCCCAGCTCACAGCACCTCTCAAAACCCATCGCCCTCCTTCGTTGCAAACAAATGGGCCGCCACTGTCTCCCTTGTTAGAATGGGAGAAAAAAAGAAATTACTCATCGTTCAGAAAATTCTAGGCAGAATGAAACCTTTTTCTTCTGAGTCATAAATTTCCACTTAAATTTGTTCCCGTGAACGAATTGGGGGTAATTGTCGACGTGTGTTTGTGTAATTCCTTTTCGAGTAAAAAGCTCCGTCGGAAGTCGAATCTGTAAATCAAAAGACCTTTATCTGCTGTTCATGTGAAAGGGGTCAAGATCAATCTTAAAGACCTAAAAGATAACCGCGATTCAAAATCATGACCATATAAATTTTGATTTGATACATTTACCTGGCATCCACCTTTGCCTTCGCCTCCAGCGCACACCATGGAGTCTTCATCAACACTAACCATATAACCGTTAACACTTTGGCAGCTTTTGTGATCGGCGACCGGCAACACAGCCTGTTGGAGAGTTGAAGCGGCTTGTCCACCTCCAACCATTCTTCCCCAACCTTCAAACGTTATTAATTAGATTTAGTGAGCATACGTTTTCAAGAACACTTGTAGGAGAATTGTGCGTCACAGTGCTGCGACAGATACAGTTTGAAAAAAGATACCAAATATCACTTATAAAACAGGCAGTTTCTCAGCTTTATCTGAGCAATAGACCGCACTCTCTATCAGTTTACCGGGGTAATAACCTACGCAGGATGTTGGAAGAACACAAGGAAAAGTTCCTATTTTCTTTGTGTTGGCGGTGCAATAAGCGATAGCCTTTTGACCGATGAGGGCGCTCATAACATCTCAATTATTCTATAATAATTTACACATTTCACATTTTTGCCATAGAAAAAAAAAAGAAGAAGAAAATACTTAGCGATTTCTTTACCTGTAATATAACATCGTGATCCAGGTGACACCTTGTCTCCTGGCTGTGGCATGCAAACGGTATTTACTTTATCGCTCAGCTTCACTCGCCCACTCAGCTGTAGAAGAGCTATATCGTTACGGAGCTCTCTCATGTTGAAACTTTCATGTTTGAACAGTTGCCGTAAATTGAAGGTCTGCTGCACGGAGGTTGTTCCAGTTCTTATGTGGGCTCCTGTCAGAAAAGTCATTTCTTAGGTTGAGTTCAGTTTTCTCTACGACATAGGCATAAAGAAACTAAGATCCACTCCATCTATTGATTTGTCTTTCAGAGCAAATAGATCTATGAACTGCTTGTTTGAGCTTCTTTAAATTGTTTTCAACTAAGTAATATTTAAAGATAAACCGAACACCAAAATCAAAATAAACAAATAAAGAAACAAACAGACAGAAACAACAATTACAACAACAACAACAACAAAGCTTGTTTGTTGGCTAATTTATCAGCCTTCTTGCATCAGGCAAAAAACAAACAAACAAACAAACAATAACAATAGCAAAAGTTACAGAACAATGATTGATGTCTATGTGCAAATTATACAACAAAGAGGAAAACTATGTGCTGACAAAGGTATTGTTAAAATAGCTGATGTAGCAAAATTTTCCAATCATAATGTTGAAAGCTAGCGTGAAACAGGCAGAAGAGCAAGTCTCCAAAGCGTACCTACGACTACAGTGTAGCCACTCGGCGATGGATTCCTTTCCACGCAATGAGCAGCAGTTACAACCCAGTCATCTTCAATAAGTGATCCTCCACAGATATGTCGACCATTTACTCTGAGTGAAATCTGCCAAGGCCAAGCGTGAGGCGCAGCATTTTCACCATTCACAACTCTCGCCGAAAATGGTTTTTGCCCGCATCCTGAAAATCATTTATGCTTGGTTTATTCATGTAGGAGCAAGAATGAGAAATAAAATCTAGGCAGATGGTAATTTAAAGATTCATAAATTGTTAGAGCGAATCAAAACGAAAAGAGGCTGGTCAGAAACAAAAGAAAGTTTCAAGTAACTCAGTGAGGAGTAGCACCTTTAAAGCGATTCTCAGTTTGTTTTCATTTTTGGATCTAATTGTTTGAGACTTAAAAGACATCTAGTTCAAGCAATACAATTTTACCTAATGTTCTTAAATTTGTCATTTCTTTCCTCTGGTCAATACAACTGAGGAAGCCTGAAAAAAGTAAACCTGAAAGACCTTCTAAGAAAAACTACCTTGAGAATGTGGTACGCCAAGCAGCAACAGCACAACTCCGATCCAGAGATTCATCATGAAGGAATGGATCTCTAAATGTGGTAACAAGATGAGGCTGACACCTCTTTTTTTTTATAGACAATATGTAACATCACCTGCTTCTCACCTGGATAACCTATTCACACAATACACACTATTTTTTTAAAACAACTTTGGCATACAGTCTGGCACTGATTGTTCAGACGTCTGAGAGTATTTTTCAGCTGGGGAAAGAAAAACAGGAACAAAAATTCTCATTTTTTGGTTCAAGAGGTGACGTAAAGGTATAACTGAAAAGTCAACATTGCTTACCAAACACAGCAGTAAAACCACAATGACACAATTCGTTCCACTGACTTGCACGTCATAGTCGCCAACCAAAGAATTCTTTATTTATACAACCTACATACCCAATTTGCCCAAATTTTACCGCTATAGAATGATACATTTGCAGCCGTACAGGTTTCATAAACATATTTGAAGTATTTTTTGGATTAAGATAATCTTTCCAGTTCAAGAGCTGATATTTTTCAAGGCAACCTTCCTTGTCACTTCCGCTGGGGACGTTATGTTGACCCTGGTCATTTTTATTTTAGCATTTTATCGACGATTTTCGAAAACCTTTCTCACCGGCAAAAGTTATTTCAATATTCCTATATAACTAAAGATGTATCTTCAGTACATTTTATCTTTAGAAATATAGGGCTTTAGGGATACGACTGTTTTTTTTTTTAAACGGACACCATCTACAAATAACTAACGAATTTAGTGTCTAAATTTTAATAGATCTTCAACACAATCATTTTAACAGCTGTTCTGGCGAGTCAAATATTTGGTTGAACGAAAATAACCCCAGTATTCCCGCATGATCCAAAGGTAAAGAACACCTGGGGCAGATTTTCTTTTATTCTTCGATGACAAATTTCTGGAAAGAGGGAAAGAATGTATCCAAAAAGAAACGTTTACACCCAATGGAGGCGCATTTCGTGCTTCATTGTTTTGATGGGAGGTTTGAATCAACCCCTGAGGCAAACTAACCGAGCAATAAAAAGATTACGGCGTGTGAAAATATACTTCCTCTAGGAAAAGAAGGCGTTGTCAGCGGAAATAGAAATCTTTTTTACCAAGCGGATGATTTTCGTAGGGATGAAATAGGTGATGAGGCAAATGAAGAAATCCTTACGTCAAGAGATATTTTGTTTGAGAAAAATCGAAAGGTTTTTGAGCGACCACTCTCCTCCTCAAACTGAACTCCTTGGAGGATCTCATCAGGAACAGGAAGATCACGGGAAGTTCTGCAGGCATAAACTGTGGACATATTTTCAGTTGTGCATCGTTCCTTAAGCGACCCATTTGTACCTACTAATCGTGAAATGGTCCAGATTTGAACTGCTTATCAACGCGGATTCATTGTCATCGATCACAACAAATAAGCAATGTAGGTGTTTAATCACTTTAATGTACTACGATTGATATTATCATGCTCAAGGAAACAATTTCAATCACCTGCCGCATTGATCGAGGAAACTTTTGTAGCGCTCTTTTGCAAAACCAAGTCAAGAAAAGAAGGTAGAAGTAGATTTAATACACGCAAATAAAACCCAAAAGGCTCCATTGAGTTATTTCTTAGCAATTTACGTTACACATACGTGCGTAGAGAAAAGTTTATCCTTCGGTAGGTTCTGTCACATATTTCATTGCTATTCAAACAAAAACTTACGCTCATAAATCCTTCCCTAAATCCACTTCTCATAAAAAAGTTGCGAAAAAGCGATGACCAATCTCCAAAATCGTTTATTCGAACATCAAAACATTTTTTCGCCATATATATATTTCCTTTTAGCAACTTGCAACATTTGCTTCGTGCCGATCCCGGGAATCTTTGCGTGAACACAGGGATCCGATTACTGAGACCTAATTCATTTCGACGAAACCCTGGTCTTTCGAGTTTCGATCACGTGCTTCATCAAAGAGCGATTCTACCTTTCTTCCTCTTGTTCTTTAAAAGTATAATCTTATCTTTTCAAAGTTCAAGCTTTTCGTTTGAAATCTCGATGTCAATTGAGCTATTTATACTGAATTGCTTTGAATCAGCTTCAAATTTAAATCAAAGCATTTTGGAAGCATTTTATAAAATGTGATTTGATGATTATCGAATTGTTTTAATGCATATACAACCAGCCAGGGTGATTCAGTTTTACTTTAATCCCCTTCCGAATGTTTGGCCAGCGTTTGTATGAATTAGAATGTTCGCAAAGCGAGAAAAACTGCAGATAAAGCCTCAATTAAAGGAATCTAAGTCCTTTTTTCAAAACCAGTTCGGCAAAAATTTTTGGGAAAGAAATAAATTTTTCACCAAAAGAGAAAAAGTATCTTACGAGTTAAAGCTAGAGAGGTCTATTGCCCACTGAACCAAGGTAATTGAAAATGGCGACATCGCTGCTCACTGCATTATATTTGAGGGTGACAGAGCTTTTAAGACGTGTTGCGTGACTGATTAAGGCCAACATTAATTATGATGCGTGAATTTTACAGAAAGGGGAACGTCACATGGTTCGTGAATTCTTATGCACCAGTGTGAGGCGTGATTTGCCACCTGAAATTGACATTATCCGTGAGCTTCTTCTTTCATTTTGTGAAAACCTCAAAATTTCCCTGAGACCTTGTACAAAAGAAGAAAGAGATAAGGTTTTCTCTTTTGTCTTCAAGACGCATGAATGTTATGCGCATGCTTAAGAATTTAGGGAAGTGTTTATGTCACTGGCGGTGACCATGTCCCCATTCATTTTCTAAATGACCCGCTTTCCGGTACATGCATTAAAAAGGTTCTGAAGCACAGGATACGTTGCTCATTTCTCGTACTTTACAAGTAGATTCATTGCAATAAATTGGACACTATGTAGTTTGCTGTTTAAAATGCTTTAATTTGCTCTTTACCAAATACTTAAGTGGGAGCTTTGCCTTTAAGAGTTCACTTCAAATCTTGCTGCTCTTTTTCGCTGTGAAATACAGAAAAAAATACAAAGATATTACGAATCAAGAGTGTCCTTTGATTAAATTAAACGATAATATTTAATAATTGTTCACTTGCGGATAAAGACTTTGATGTTTATCAATGCCAATGTACGTGTAGTCTTGTATTTACTTCTATCAAGAGAATATAACATGAATTTATTTTCTCTTCCTTCTATACTCCTTCCCTCGATAATATTTTTTGCAGATTTATTTTTAAATGGAACAAGTCTACTTTCGAATAAAATAAACACAGATCACGCTAAACGTATGGTTATCAGGGATTCCTTGTGACGGAAGCTCCTCATTTCATAAACAAGAACTAAAGTTTTTCTTTCGATGTTTTTACTATTTTTTCGTGTTACGAACTAAAGTTACGAACAAACCATACTTTCGACAAAAACACAATTGGTTTCGTTGATATGCAGATACCTGAATTTAGCAACGTTTACATGTCTTCTTGCAAGTTGCCTTTACCCACGAATGCCATGAGCAGTACTTAGTCCAATGCGGGCAGTAACTGTGCCCATCGACACAACCTAGTCACAAAAATTACATTAATTAGTATATGCCACGCAGGTAAAAAGGGCTTAATTTTTCGCGCACCTTGATTCGTCAGTTTGACAGTGATTAAAAAGTATTATTCACCTTCGAGCCACCAAAGAGACAAAATCGGTCTTTGAGTAGAACCCCTGACCATTTTTCGGTATATTGACAGATAAAATCTAATACATTGCTTTGTGTTTGGTGTATTCTAAAACAATTAGTAACCTCAATATTAATGATAGTGATGGACATTTAACTCCCTGTTTTGCGGTTCGGTAAATATCCACCACTATTCACCTTTACTGAGGTGAATGATTGTTAATTAATTTAATTCAGTAAAAGTTATAAAGATAATAAAAGCAGCGATGATAATTATAGGAATAATGATAATGATAATAATAATGACAAGAATAATAAAAACGAACATCATCATGCCCCCCTGCGAGAGTTTTTCTTCCATCTTAACATTTAAATTGGCTTTACCAATAAAACATATGATTTGTGTGTGCCACGTTAATTTTAAAAGCTCCATTTTCACAAGCACCACAAGACTATGTTTTGCATTAACGTGTCACAGCGTATATTAAATCGTATCCAATAAAGTAATTCTGCTGGCCTGAATTTCTAAGAATTTATAAAACACTCTAATAATTAATCACATGAGTTTGTCGCACAATTTCTATTCCATGTATCATACTGACCGATGTACACATTATAATTTGAAGTTTACTTACTAACACTGCCCCCTCCACTGGTACCTTAAAGAAGTTAACAAATCATAACAATGTTAGCGCCATCAATCAACTGAATAGGTGATAGTTAATAAAGTCTGTGTTAGGTTACTTTGGAGAATACAGAAAGGGAAAGTGATCCAATTTGGGGAAGCTTTGTGGGTTCCTCTTAGAGATAACCTTAGTTCAACGTCTTATTCTCTGAACATATTTCAGTACGGGGTTTAAATCCCGTATGATATTACTTCTATGAAATGGAATTATAAGACCCCCAGCATATACAGGTAAGGTAAAATATTGCTTTTTCGGGTAGAATATATAGATTTTACCATAGCAAGTAACTCAACTCTCACTTATAATCCTTATAGACTATAGCATTTTCAAAGAGTTAAACAGTTTGATAGTTAAATGTGAGGACATTGCTTTTCCACACGACCTTGGTCAATTTATTTTCCCCTCTCTCTTTCATACCAAGACTGCAAACTATATGATTTTTTTCAGATGCAAAATATCATGTTCGCTTGTTAGACGCCTTAAGATTATGTGTGGCTCTCTCCCCACTAAAGCCATGAAATTACCTGACTTCTTCCTGTTGATCCATTCAATGAAGCTACTCAGACGAGCGAACACAGTGTAGTGATCTGTTCTGCACATCCTGTGACCCCAGCTAACAGCGCCACGCAACACCCATCTCCCTTTCTCTGCGCAAACAAAAGGTCCACCACTGTCGCCCTATAGTAAATCATATGTTAAAACGAAAATCTATATATGTTGTGTTTTTTCGGTGTCAATGGAATCCACTGTTTATTTAATATGTGTTTATTCACTTAGTTGCGAAATTTTGACGGGTGGGCCCACTCCAGCTTTGAGCTTTGGTTTAAATTGGGGCCTGTATAAATAATAACAAGGCCAAACACAACACGGGGAGCTAAATTCCCTACTCTTTGCAAGAAGTGCATAGGTCCCACTCTAACGTTTCCTGCTAACTAGTGTAGAGAAGATGCAGGAGACAGGGCCAAATGTTAAATTTATCGTCCTTATCCGTGAAGACTACAATGTCTATCCAGTTACGGATGTTGTAACAAAGGCGACAAATTCTCCTCGGTTATTCTAAGACCCTGACAATTGGTCCGGTCTGGGGTTTGACTACTCAACCTCCCGCAGGCAGCTCGGCGCTTTACGGTATGATTCGACCCAGTAGGAGCAATAAGAAAAGCTTAAAGATGTTTTACTGGTGGAAGTGTTTCGGAGCAGTCAAGTGCATTAAAATGAAGAACCCACCGTGCTTGTATAGATAGTGCACGGACAAGCTCGTAAGGCCAGCAGGGGTAAATTGCGCCAATTTACGTGCAAAGGATGCCTTTATTATACCTGTTACTGCGCATTTCACCAACACCACCAAAGTTGAAAATTGATCAACGAAGATTGATTTTGCGATGGTATCAATCATGTTGTAAACCTCTTGTGAAGTAGGTGTGATGTTCCAGAGAGAGAAGATCAAAAGATTATGTGTGGAGTTGCAATTAGAGCAAATCTATCCATGTTGTTTATCTCAGGTTTTAAATGTAGACTGCAAGTTTGGCACTGGGCTTCAGAGTTGACATGTAACGAAGAGGCTCGGTGGTTTTTGTTCAATCAAAGGGATTATTTAATTACCTGACATCCTCCTTTTCCTTGACCTCCGGCACATATCATTGAGGTATCATCAACAGGAAGCAAACGTCCGTTGATTCTGCTGCAATCACTGTGCGAAGCAACAGGCAGTCGAGCCTGCTGGAGAATGTTCGCTGCACTTCCACCTCCAACAGTTCTTCCCCAGCCTACAAACGTAAACGATCATATTGCTGTAAATATTCTGATTGTAGTGTTTCATTTAGTGACAATTTTAATCAATACCCTCTAACATGTTACTTCTAGATAACTTCGAGCTGACAAGGAAAATTTCTACAGTTTCTTTGGTATGATACGATTGAATTTAAACACACCAGGTTTGGTAGTATAGCTGAAAATGAGTGCTACACGCAGATCTCAATTACCAGTAATATAGCATTGTGTTCCTGCTGGAATGCGGCTCCTAGACTCTGGTAGACACACCGTATTGACTTTAGAGCTGGCTGTTATGGGCCTTTCAAGCTGAAGAAGTGCAATATCATTTCGCAGATGTCTCCCACTGTATCCTTCATGTTTGAATAATTTCTTCAAGCGATGGGTCCGCTGTACTGTTGTGGATCCAAGCCGACTATGAGCACCTGACAGAGCAATTTTAAATTGAAAAAGTTTAGCAAAAAATGTATCCAAAAGCAACTGATTATTTCAAGTAAAACTGAGATATTGAGATCTATATTGCCAAAAAGCTGGGATGGTAACAACAGAAACATATAAATCAGATATAAATTCTCCAGTTTTCGTTTTCTTTTAATTTCATTCCTTAAGTAGGCAAAACATCGCGAAAACTCTTTTTCTTCTTCTGTTCAATTTGCGGCTTGCTTAGTTCCCCTTTTCTCTTCAACTGTAGTACGTATTCTCTTTAATTTCTGATTTACACATTGTAATCCAGCAATTGGGAAACTAGTTTACGCAGACTTACCCACGACTACAGTGTATCCACTTGGATTCGGGTTCCTATCGACACAATGGGCGGCAGTGACGACCCAGTCCTTGTCTATGAGAGATCCTCCACATATGTGACGTCCATTTACTCTGAGTGAAATCTGCCAGGGCCAAGAGTGTGGAGAGGCATTTTCCCCATTAACGACTCTAGCCGTATATGGTTTAACTCCACAACCTACACAATGAAGAAGGCTTTTAATTTTATGGTGATATTACTAGATGAGAGGTAGAGATTCAGCCATGTTGGTTAATGCAATCTGACTAATCATTCAAGAAGGCAAGCACTAATGCGTAGTGATTATCATGATGTGTAACCCTAGATATTTGCCTCAAAACACAGCAACCAATTTGTGGTATATATCAACGCTTATATATGAGCTTTCGATGGGAAACTTGTTTGAGATAAGTACCGTTTGGGTCGCATAATCGAAAAGACTTCGAAAGACTGAGTATTTAGTGATCATATGCGGGTCTGATTAATACCTTTAGAATGCGAAACTCCAAGCAACAAAAGTGCAGCTCCGATCCAGAGATTCATGCTGGCTGAATGATATCTATTTGAGATTGGTCCTTGTTTTATAGACTATATTATCTTTGATGGTGTTTCTCGCTTGGAAATCCTGTGCAAACATTACTTCTTTTAACTTTCGTAACGGTCTTTAAGATCTTACCCTATCGATGATTCAGGTGGAGAAGATGTTTAACTAATGACATCCAAACCTTTTCACTTTTAATTTGCGCTATCGCCAGGTTCTCTTTACATGCAAATTGTTTTCAGCTATTTTTCATTAAAATATGTGAGTTAAAGTACCCATTATTTGTCTTAACCTACATGGATTACACAGGTGGCTAAGCTGCCTTTTTCAATAATACCTATTTCTTTCTTGTTTCAATTAGCAGTGTTAGCAAAAATTATTCACAGGCAGTTGTTTTGAATAATTATATATATATACATGCCATAAGTTATAACTTCGAATACAAAGAGCATTTGATTCTAAAGGATTAATCAGGTGGCTAGAGTTAAAAACACTTTGTTTTGCGCTATTATGAAATAATGGTCGATTTCCGATGGAAAGGTTTGTTCAAACGTTTCTACCTGGAATCATCTTGTTTGGGAATGATGAAAAAAAACCTGTGTATTGTAAGTCGCAAACGGAAGATGGGCTTAGAAATGGTTCAGTAAATATCATACAATTTCATCTGGGCTTATCATTCTAATTTCCTCACAATTAATTTTATGATGGCAAATTCTGACACCCCACTTACACTTCTGCTATTCAACAAGGTTGAGTTCTACCGTCCAGTTCATTTAAAAGCGAATCTTGTTTATCTTGCTCTGTATTTTCTTTTATATTCTTTTTCATTTCTTTAACATAGGTCTGCCTTTTCGCCTGAAATTTTGATTTCATTTGAGGTATTCATACTGAACTGCATTAAATAAACTTCGAACTTAAATCAAAGGTTAACTATGAGAGAGGGTAGTCTGTTTATTTGCTCATAAAATCAGGAAAATGTTGTACGGAAGAGACATTTTTAAAAGTGGTTTCAGAGCTATCGAAGTAGTTTAATTAAATGTATACCAAGAGTAATTCAATTCTATTTTAATCCCGCTCAGAATGTTTCGCTTGCCTTGGAATAAATTAGAATGTTCGCAAAGTGAACAAAACAGATCATCATTAGTTAAAGGAGTCTGAGTGTTGTTTTAAAACCAGACCCAATAAAACAACAGAAGAGAAAAAAAATTTTATCAAAGGAAAATTGTCTTTTGGTTATCGAAATTTACCTGGTTTCTGCCTGGCTTCTACGTGGTTTTACCTGGTTTTCGCTGAACGTTTTGCTTGAGAAACTTGAAAATTAAGGCTGTTTCTTGAAGCCTGAAAAGTTGTTTTTTTAACCGTTTAAGAACAAAAACAAAAAGAAGATAGCTGTATTTTAAGGAATGATTGGGCATTGCTTTGATACCATATTAACCAAATTTTAGGAGGAAATGTGATAGTATCGAGCAATATCGAAAGCTTTTTGAACAGCTTCGAAATTCACCGGAGTCACCCAGGGAAACAAAATTTGAGGCACCATTTTTTCAATACGACGCAATTTAAGTAAGTAGCCATTTAAGTTGCCAGTAAATATTTTGCCCATCATATGTACAAATCAATTCCGATAGAAGAAAAAAGTCGGTTTTCGGGCCTAAAAGTGCTCTTATTTTGTCTTTAAAGTGTCCCGTGAACTGGTAACGAATTAGCGGGTGATGACGCAGAAAACTCTGAAAACTCTCAGTTGACACCTACAAATCTCTCCATCTCTTGTATTTTGTACCTACCTTCAGCAAGCTCTACCGAGGGTTGTAATATATCGTACTCAAGTGCTAGAGAAGAAATGGAAGTTACGAGTACGGTTCAGCCCTAAGAAGCAGAACTGCGTGCATCAAACGAAGATTTCGACGAAGTCTGACAAAGACGGTTTTTCGCCTGCAGTTTTTAGGTCAAGATAAGGACAAAAAATTCCCTTTACTGAATGTTTAGTTTGCTGCATTTGTGGTTTTTTTTTTTTTTTTCTATGGCGAATTAAGAATGTTCGCTTCTGTTGCCATAACATTTTATTCCTTAGCAATATGTGTGGCCAAAGTTCCCCTCGGTCAGTGCTCTGAAGTTTTGTCGCTGTAGAGAAATTTCCCTAGTAAACCGAATCGGCTAACTTTTGACAAAAAAATCGGCTGTATCACGGGGCACGATGATTTTTCACTGAGGAGTCATCAGGCAGCTTCACTGCAAGTTGTTCCTTTCCTCACAGATTGCAAGAGCAGGTCGTCGCGATCGTCGAGCCGGTCAAACCGAACGGAAAACGAGTGAGTGCTTAGCCATCTGATTCGAGTTAATTTCATATGGGGATTTTAATAGAGAGACTTTTCTTTAGTTTAAGTGCAGCGTTGCCGTATATGACCCATTCCGCTCAAAGGAAATAACTGACATCAGTATTATAACTGAATATTTCGTACGCATCGACTTTCACACAACACTTGGATTCGCAATCATCTAATCCGATAAAATTTGTGCTTCTTTATTTATCTCGTTGAAGCGTTGTTATCACAATGACATTGCTGCTGTTGATACTTTTAGTTTCTTTAGGGCAGGGGAAATTGATGGCTCATGGGATGGATTTTCGGAAACCTAGGTTAAGAGAATACATGGCCTCTTCGAGCTTGTGTACATGCCAGTATCCGCCAAAGGTTTTGCACTGTTCACGCAGCAGGTTATCGGTAAGCTTGAACTTCATTAAAAATGGTGTTTTTCTTTTGTTAAAATACGATGGAAATTACAATTGGTAGGATTTTCATACGATAAGAAAAGTGCAAATGTAGTCATTTGGAAAGATAGTACATCTCAAGTGCGTGAAATAAACAACAATAAGGAGCTCACCATTCTTCGCTTGCAAAATGTCAGCCGAAAAGAATCTTGAACATTCGTGTTCGGTGTGGGAACAGACCCCCTAATCAGCATCTTTTTCAGCTGAATTCATTGGTAATTTTCCCCTGATTTGACTAACGATATGTGTTCGTAACAGGCGCCTTCGAAGCCGGTGTGGAGCCGACGACATTGAAGAGCAAAAGCTCGACGATCGCAACGCGTCCATTTTGGCCATACAGCTACATTCTTTGAAAAGTAATGTATAGAACTAGCCGGTATATGTTTATTATTCTTGTAACTAACATCATTTGGCTCTCCGGCTACGCAATACGTTCGTCCTTTCTTCTTGATTTCTCCTTTCTCCACCATCGTTGCCGACATGTCTTCATAGTTTTCTACGTCACAGCTATGTAACATGATTTTTTTGGCCGCGCGTTAAATAATGACACTTTTTGGCCGCCAAATCGTACTTTCAATACACAAAAAAAGTCAAGGAGAACTCATTAGCTCCTAAGGTTGATTATTCCTAATTTTAAAAAACAGCCATTAAATAGAAAATGTGAAAAAAATTTCGTGTCATGGTGACAGTTTCTCTTCAAGAAGCTTTAGCTATTTTTTTTTTAATCTAACCAGCCTAGGTCCCAATAGTAACTGAATGCATAAACGGAAATTACGAAAAGACCAATAGTTTAAACTTTTCAACCGGCTTAACATGAATATGTAAGTTCTCCGTACTGTTCTCTATACATTTCTAAATGTACTGAGGAGAATCTGGCTAACAATCAAGAGCTTAATTCTTGAGTTCACGACTATTTCCTATATTCTCTTGACCTAAATATTTGATTTAGTGGTGATATTGTTGGGAGCAATTATAGATCCCTATCACTCGTAGGGGGTTAAGGAGTTAAAATTTAGATTTCGCACGCGGCATTTGATTGACTGTATGTGAACACGATGTTAGTGATATTCTGATTTCTTCCCTCCCATTGGTTCTGGTTACTCAATGACCCCACTTTCATTACATGCATTCAAAATTTTCTGTGGTAAATGCTACGTTGCTCATCACTATAAATTGGATACTACGAAGTATGTTGTTTAAAACACTTTAATTTGCTCTGTTCAAGTACATTGGTGAGAACTTTGCCTTAAATTCAGGTCGCTTCGAGCCTCGTGGGTTTTGATGGCTGTGAAATAAAGAGAAAAATGCAAAGATATGAATCATGTGAGTGTTTTCTTTAATTCAGTCAAATTGTAATCTTATGTGATTGTTTACCCGCAGATAAAAGTATTCGACCTAGCAAATCTACTTCTGAAGAAAATAAACACTAAGATTACGTTTAGCTGGCCGAGAACTCGTGTGATGGAAGCTTCTCGATTCATAAACAAGAAATGAAGTGTTCTTTGATGCTTTCTAATATTTTTCTTTGCTTGATTTTAAGGTCGACAAGAGGTTTACGATTTACTAACTAGACTAACAAGATGATATGCTCAATAGAAAAACTTAATTAGATACCTGAATTTAGCAGAGTTTGCATGTCTTCATGCAATTTGTCCGCACATACGCATATGAGCAGTACCGAGTCCAATAGCGACACCTTCGGTCCTTATCTATGCAATCTAGTCACAATAATTACATTAATTAGTACACACACAGGTGAATAGTGCTTTTCACGCTCGCTGATTGGCTGGTTCGGAACGTGATAAGCATGCAAATACCATTCACCTCCAAGCAGCCGAAGAGACAACATGGTACATCGAGATTAATTTAAGACCATTTTTTGGTATATTGACAGAGATAAACTGATTTCTTTGCCATTCTGAAACAATTATTCACCTCAGTGTTTGTGAGAGTGTGAGATTATTACGAAATTCAAAACATTTTTCAAAAAGTGAAATATTTTCTATTGTCCAACTTGAAAAAAGACTTTCAGGAGCCAATGGGTATATATAAAAAGCCTTTCACAATTGAATAACCTATCATCTACTGACTGCTACAGTCCAGTTTGTTTGAAGGTCTGCGGTAACGCTTTGGCTGGTAATTCAGTAAAGCGAGCCCTGCCCGTATTGTATTTAATGGCTCGCGCGCGCCTATCGAAACAAAATCGGTAAAACGTTATTTTGTTTTCAAGCTCTTTAGTGATATACAGTTTTTTAATGTTTTCTTTGAAAGGGCGTGCGTTGGACGCTTTTTCCAAGAGGCACCCTATTTTGTTGTTGGTAAACATACGAAAAGTTAATCAGGGCGTCACCTATGGCCATTCCAATCGAAGTTATAAGATGGTAACGAATGCCTACTTCATTTTGAGAGTAACTTTAAACTTTGACTTCCCTTCTCTTTCGAAACCGTTTTCGTCACCACTCAAATTTCCAATGCAGTAATTTAACTCGGAAGAACTGGTCGGTGTTAGCATTCTTGCGGAAGTCCGGAAAACATACCTCCGTTCAAAGAGCTATCTGTAAATAATTTCTGGAAATTGACATATCTGGAGGCCATTATCTGAAAAATTTACCCCTTTTACTAATTTTCTCCTGATGTGTTATATATCATATATTATATATTATATTGAGGTTTGCTTACTTCCTCCGCCTCCGCCGCCTCCGCCTCCACCTCCACCTCCACCTTGAAGAAAATAAAAGAAGGGATGATACTGTTAGTGTCACCTATAATTTCCGTAAGACCTCAGGAAATGCTGCAATAATAATGTCAAAGCATCAATAATAGTTGAGTACAGGTGAAGATTAAGAGAATGAAAACCGGGTAGCCTTCACTTAGTCCAAACAAGGTTTCTAACAATAACAAAAGGTCTTTCAAATACAAATTTTGCCGGGATACTTTGACATTCTCATTAGGTATGTCGTAATATTTGTATAGAAAATTATCTGTGCAAATGCAAAATTGCCCAGAATCAAGTGACTTTGAATGCTTTAAAACTCGCTATGAACTGTTTTTTTTATGACGTTTTGTATGATATCCTCAGAGAAGATTGATAATTTACTCGTTCGTGATAATTTTTCTGAAACCAGCTTCGTATCAATTTCTCGACATTTCGTACTGAACATAAAGCATTCTTCTGGACTGGACTCTAAGTAGGCTTACGAAGTTTACCTGACTTCTTGTTGTTGATCCAGCTAATGAAGCTGCTTACACGAGCGAAAACCGTGTAGTGATCTGTCCTACACTGTGAATGACCCCAGCTCACAGCACCTCTCAACACCCATCGTCCACCCTCATTGCAAACAAAAGGTCCGCCACTGTCACCCTATGCAATTTTGTAGCAATAGATATAATGATAAAACATAATTATCCGTCAATCCAATGACTTCAAAAAGAAAGTCAATGAAAAGTGAGTTTATTTTTACTTCCAGTCACGGTTGATTGTGTAAGGCAAACTGGCCATTCATTTTGGGCTACAACTGTGTTCGGCCACACTTCAATGCAGGGGTGACCGCCGTTTCTAATTTTAAAGATTAATGTGTTATTCAATTACCTGGCATCCTCCTTTTCCTTGGCGTCCAGCACATAGCATTGATCTCTCATCGACAGGAAGCAGTTGTCCATTGACTCTGCTGCAGTCACTGTGTGAGGCAACTGGCAGCATAGCCTGTTGGAGAACGTCCGCTGCATTTCCGCCTCCAACAGTTCTTCCCCAGCCTACAAACGCAAATATGACACGTTTATTCAATTTTACCATGTATTTGATTTAATGGTCCTCGAAGCTTATATGTCTCAAAACAGATCGATGCCTCTGCAAAGCAGCATTGAATCAATTAAATAGCGAAAAATGAAGCATCGATAAAACTGTCTATCAAGTTTCCCTAACCATTGACAAGGGCAGTGACGGTGATGGTGTCAATACACAGAGCCTTTTCCATAATGTGGTTTTTCCCGCATTTTAAACATCATGAATTTACGGTAAAGACTGCCTATCGTCAAATTTCAATTTTTATCCCATGTAACCTACTTGACAAATGAATGCTTTAGAGAAAACTTAACGAGATTTTTTTTATCAAAATAGCATACTTCTGATAGTTTTAATTGAAAGGACAGATATGCTGCTACACCGAACAAAATAACAATCTTCGTCTCCACAATTTCAAAGTGTATATGAAATTATATCGCTGGATCACATTTTGAGGTTCAAAAACAAATTATTTCCAAATTTACTCAAAATTTATGTGCAATCGAAATTACGGTTTGAGAGTTAAACTGCAGAAACTTGAAAATACCAATTTCATCAAGATATCTAGAATTGAAGTGCGAAATCTATAAAGGAGAAGACTAAGAAGCAAATGCAGTCAACTCTGCACGAGGAGTCCTAACCATTGGAAAAGCCCATCACAAAGGAAAAAGTCTGCTTAATACGGCCGGCAAAACAAATTTACTAGATCTGGTATAGGAATAATTATGTTCAAATCATTCAAACAAATTCTAGTTACCTGTAATATAGCATTGCGATCCTGCTGGAATCCGACTCCCAGAAACTGGTAAACACACCGTGTTGACTTTAGGACTGGATGATATAGACCCAGCAAGCTGCAGAAGTGCTACGTCATTTCGCAGATTTCTCATACTGAATCCTTCATGTTTAAACAGTTGTCTCAATCTAAAGGTCCTCTGCACTTGTGTTGATCCTGTTCGACGGTGGGCTCCTAAAGACGCCATTATTGCAAAAACATTTATTTTAACAGATGGTAAGTCAGCTCAAGTAAAACTGGGAGGTTGAAAAGACAAGGAAACGGGGATGTTAGCATCAAGAACATTTAATTTGATTGATCAATAAAGTGATTGTGATTAGAAAAGTCTTTTTCAAACACTCTTTTTCTTCTTCTGTCTAATTCTCAACTTTTCCCACATCTTAAACGATGTTTCCCCTTCTATTACTGAGTTGCAGAATTACCCAAGTTTGTAACTTTTGAAAATGTGAAAACCAGAGGATAAGTAACGAGTTTAGTTTCTCCTTTTTTACTGTTCTTTGGTTTTTTCTTGTTTCTTTGTTTGTTTGTTTTCTTCTTGGTATATCATCGACTTACCCACGACTACAGTGTATCCACTCGGTCTCGGGTTTCTATCCACACAATGGGCGGCAGTCACGACCCATTCCCTATCGATGAGAGATCCTCCACATATGTGACGTCCATTTACTCTGAGAGAAATCTGCCAGGGCCAGGAATGTGGAGTGGCATTTTCCCCATTCACGACTCTAGCTGAAAATGGTTTTCTTCCACAACCTGCAAAATACAGCAACATCTAGACGAGTTTTAGTTATTCAAGTTCGTCAAGTGGCCTAGGGCTAAACAGTTTTAGATAACTAATCCTTCAGATATCAATAAGCATTCAAAAACACAGGCCAAAGAGAGCGCTAATTGGAGTTAAAAATGATTTTTCACTCATGAAAATAAGTGAGATACGTTATTATTCTGCTCGGCATTCTCAGATAGATGCAAAGAAAAAAGATCTGTAATATGCACCTTGAGAATATGAGACTGAAAGACAGAAAAGTGTCACTCCGATCCAGAGATTCATCTTGACTGAAATGATCTCCAGTTTGGTACCAACCTTGGGTTGATGCCTTTTTTATGTACTTTAGTGTGATCTCAGCTACCCCTCACCCGGAGATCTTTCTCAAACAACAAGTCGTTCGAATTTCCAAAGGATCATTCTATTTGGCTACATCTGATGACTCAGTTGGCGGCTACGTTTTTGAAAAGATCATCCTTTTCTTTTATGTCTGATATTGTGTTGTGTCAAATTCAATTCGAATGCAAATGGCATTGTTATGTTTATAAATGCTGTATGATATACTTGACAACAAACGCATTTCTATTTAACCTCATCGATGGTTCAGGTGGAGAACAAGCTTTTTAAAGAATATCAATAATTTTTTCTTTATTTTGCGTAGTAGTTAAATTTTATTTGAATGCAAATGCTAATTGTTCAACTGCGAAAAAATTCAATATGGCCGGACATTCTGTCCTCGTTATTATCAAAAACGTGAAAGAGTTACATACTGGTCTTTAAACAATCGTTTCTTCGTGGTCGCGAACAAAAGATCGGTTATGAAAGCAGCTGACTACAAGTACAAAACCGTAAAAATCCACATTTGACGATCCTCAATAGCTTTATTGGCCTACTTTAATTCTGCTTGTCGAAACTTTATCCGAAAGACAGCTGCACTTGCTCCTTTTCTCAATAGTTTACTTTCTTAACGCGGTTTTATGAGAACAAACCCATCGTTACCCAAAATTTACGCCCAAAGGAGCAATTCCTCTTCATTAGCCTTTTTGCAAAAGTTTGTAGTCTTCTTTTTTTTCTGGATGTTGTTATATTGATGTGGAAAGGCCTTTAATAAAAACAAAAAGGGCTACTCAGTATAGACCACACAAACAGAAATAAATAGGAAAAAGGAATGGGGCTACACCTGGGAAGATGTTTGCCTGATCTCCTCATATAGATATGCAATTCATCTCCCACCGAAACCATGATATTCATCTCATACATCCTGAAAATGTTCCCTCAAAAAATTGAAATGTCCTTTTTTTATTTTCATTAAGAGCAGAGTGATTAAAAAGGGATATTTGATTTAGATACCGTTAAAAAGAGTGTGTAGTGTTGAGTGGAGTGCAGTTTTTCCATTTACTTTCATTCCTGTAATATGCCTAAAAAGGGATGTTTTAAAATATTAAGATTTAAGTTTAACAAAACGCCAAGCGACAAAATTAAACTTCGTGCTTTTTTTCTTTCATCCGTTTTAACGCGTTAGGTGCCTTTTACCGTTTAATTGCCTTTTACCATTAATTTATGCTTCTTGCGCAGGAAATAGTTGAACCTCTGCGCCGGCCTGAAAGACATTGAGTGGCAAGAGACCACGAGCATGCACTCTTTGTAGTAGTAAGACATATAAATGCGAGGTGACGTGAAAACCCGAGAAGGGCATCAATTTTTTTGTAAATCAACTACATGCATAAAGATCAGCAATATTTAGGCTAATTCCATTTATTTCCCTTCAACTTGTGGTCACATCGATCAACTGCATAATGTTGACACCTCATTGGGTTTGATGCGTTCTCTAAAATACTGTGATTTGATGGTAGGTTCATTGCTCTGAATAAAAGGGAAAAAAGAGATAAAAAACAATGAGCAACAAGTGTTCAACACTACAAGAGGTTTCCCTCAGATGTAGATAATGTTTTTTTTCAAGGGGCATTTTCAGTAGTTTAATGTTAGGCTTAATTGTAGATTTTCAGAATTTTTCCCACAAGTTGTTTCGAGGATAACAGTCTTTTCAAGTTTTTTTATCCCATACATTTGAAATTAAAAAAACGATACCTTCATGTACATAATAACGTGAAAATATGACAAGTAAAGAGACTAGCTATTTCACAAATTTGGATTATTTCAATTTTCAAATTTTTTTATCGCTTTTCGCGAGCAGTCTTATTTCATACTTTCCGATCTTTTCTTAGGCTACAATTAGCTCTTTTAAAACCCTATTGAAATCACCGTCATGGAATCAATTTTACGTTGAGTAGATTATTTAATTAGGACGAACAGATCAACTGGCGTCTCCCCGAAACATTTTGCTGTGCCTCAATTTTTTGAAAACAGTTTATCATCTGTGTACGGCTTGGTTTATAATAGACTTACTGATTAATTAAGGTATTATTTTCTATAAATCCCATATAAACTGTCTGACTCTAATGGCGGTTTTTCAAAAATCATTTTTCTTTTCATTGTCCCCTTGATCCCATTTTGAAATCACTTGTGATCCTTGCAATTTGATTGGCTCTCATGAGAAATATTCGCGCCGAGATCATTGGTGCGATTTTTTTACAAATCGCACCTAAATTAAATCTTTTTCCCAGCCAGTAAGACAGCTTTACTAAAACACAACAATCAATCAGATTTCAAGGGTTTTTTTTTTTGAAGAAAGCAATGAAATTGCGGTAAAATTATATAATTAAAGACAAATTATGCAACTTTTTACAAATCAGCTCAATACTAGATCAGCAAAATATTGCGCAGACTACAAAAACCTGTATTTGAACGACTGAATTTTTTTTATTTCAAAATAGATGTATTAAAGTGGTAATTGAACTTCGTGTAGTGCAATTTTGGTCTGAAATCATACTTGTGATTTCAAATCAAACCTGCGCCGCACACTCCTTCTATTTTGAAATCACGTGTATAACTTCAGACCAAATCGCACTCCATCCGGTTAAATTACCATTATGAACCTCTGTGTTTAAAGCTTTGAATGAAAAACAAGATTAAATATTAACATAACAGATTTGCCGAATAAGATGTGGGCCATTTGATAAATTTCAATATTTTATGGTATTTTGTAGCCAACACGAACCTTAGACCATACATCACTTCTTCAGAACCTTGGGATCAATTCCTTGTTGACTAGAACCTAAAGACTGAGTCTATCAAAGTTCTCCCCTGTATCTGTTGTTTGCCTATAACATTACCCCCTAACTCCCACAAGTGACCAACAGAATTTCTCCTAACAATATCAAGACAATATCAAGCGTGAAGAAAAATATCAATTAGGGGATTATCAGTTGCTTCAATACCAAATTCTTTGAACTAATATTAAAAGAATTGACAATAGACAATAAGGAGAATACTACTGATGTCTTAAGAGTGTAACGGTTATTTACCTTTGATCAACAAATGCCACAAAACTTTTTGCACCCCTCTAACACGTAACCATGGTGACACATCCCTTCCCATCGTTCACAGTAGGAACCCCACTGATCAAAGCAGCCTTCAAGGAAGTGAGAACAAAAAACGATGACATGGAAAATCAGCGAACAACGAGGATTGGGAAATTGTCATGACGCAATTAACCCTCTACATGTACTGAACTCCTATAAGCGACTGAGACAGAATCTCCCCTTACAATATCAATAAAATATCAAGCAGGCAAGTGATGAGAATAAAGAATTAGTTCATAATGGTCCTAAAAAGCCGCATTTGGAGATTATAATCAATTAAGTATGCAGGACTCATACATAGATATATACATACATGCATAAAATCTTGACTGCAAAATTTCGTTAGAATTCCCTACTCTATTTAGAGAACATCATTTCACTCGATATTTCAATTGAAATATGAAAAAGTAACGTTCGTTTGCTAATTTATTATCATGAACTATTTAACATGGTTTGACCTGCACTGCGTTCACTCCTGCGTGAGCCATTTTCAGTTTCTGGAGATAAAAGCAAAAACATCGGTAATGACACTGACACTGTTCGTATCCTCTCTCGTATTGTTTTAATTTTATCGTTACTGTAGTGTGGATAAAATGTAACTTTTAAAATAGAACGAGCTCTTGTGAAGCCGTGATACTGACTAATAATGATGATGTTGATAATGATAACAAAAATTACGATGCTGATAATAATGATAATAGTAGTGAGAGTGAAAAACGTTTTTTTGATAATGATACTAATAATTACAATTATAACGATGATGAAGGCGGCGATAGTGAAATTATGATACAAAAATTCTCTCTTCTTTTCATCACCGTATCCGTACGTGAAATTTAATTGCAAGGATTATATACTGTTAACAGAAAAAGCTACGTATATTGTTTGATATTTGAAGATTTTGTGTACGGCTCACTTGTTATTCGAATGTGGCGAACCCAGAAGAAGAAAAAAAAAGCAATAATAACAGTAAAGTTCTTATCCTTGCATTTTCTTCTCCAAAGAATTACGTACATCAACTGATTAAAGTTGTTTTTTGACAATTCTGCTTCTTTAAAAACTAGCAAGTTCAATTTTTTTTTAAAGATAAATTTGTCGTATTTTTGCTTCTGCATTACCAGAATTAGAGAATAAAGATTTAGATAAAAGGAAGTCAAGATATAAAAAACTTGGTTGTGCAAAAGTAGCTCTGAGAAAGCGCTTCTTGGGGTTTCTATAATGTCCATTAAGGCGTCCGACCGATTAGATGCGACATAAGTAAATTCGTAGGTGCTAAATTACTGTTCCCAATCGAAAGGATTTTCACTTCTGAAAAATCCTTCGTCACCGTAAACACAGCTGATCTGAGTTTTACCTCTATACATTTTGCATTCCTCCTACACAATAAAGTCTGAGAGAGTTCAGTTGAGACATGAAAAATTTTTTTTAGCCTTCCAAGATTTCACAAAGCCAATGATAACACTGGGATCTGCTGTGTTTTAAAGTTATTATGTTCCTCAGGGCCGAAAAAAATCTGCGCTTGGTTAGTGCACACAATTAATCAGGAAATAATCGTAGGTAACAAACACCAATGCATTTTCCTTTCAAAAAACCTATCATTCACGCGAAAGCGCTCAAACACTCTGATGAAATGGAGACTTTCCAAAACGGTTTCAAGGGTGGAGCATTGTGGAAAAGCATTGTTTTTAAAATTTTCCTTTTTAAGAGTGAATGGGTTGAAACGGGAAGCATTTTAAAGTTGTGTAGAATTATGTTTCTAATTTCAGCGTCTTCAGGCGTTTTTGATCGTCAAAGACGCATCAAAAATGTATGCGTTCATGAGACGCAAACGAAATCGCATTGGTGTGGACACTTGAGGGAAAACGTCGATGTGGGTAAAATATTTTGCTTCATTTTTCTATAATTAAGAAAACGGACACCTTTGAAACCATCAGGGCCCCAGAAGAAGGCTAAAAGTAGTAGTTAAATTATATGCGCGGACACGCTATAATTTCCATTTTCTCGCCTTCTGGTGCCACAAAAAAGAATAGAACACGTAACTCGCTTTTAGATTGATATGCCGCTCAATCTAGTTCACATCAGCTTTGTAGCTTTCGGTTTCCATTGTTATCTCATTGACCAAGAACATGTAGGGGTGCGCTGTATGTAAACAGTCCCTACATGGAAAAGGCTTATCATTGAATACCGGTTGTATCGCGCCTTCCCCTACATTTTGGTAGGAATGTAGCACAAGACTAATACATGTGAGCCTTTTTGTCCCTTGTTTCATATTTCTGAAACAATCATTGGATTATGGACACGTCATAACGCTTGTATCAAGATTGATTTTACATCGCATGTTTGCATAGGAGCCGATTCTAGAGAATTCAACTGAAACGTAAAACGGGGCGCAGTGAAGGTGTCTGGTGGCTTACCTTCTGTTGCAAAACTCACGTTCAGGAATAGAAAGAGCAAGAAAAAGGAGCTGATCTTCATGACGATACACTTAATTTTCTATGGCACCTTGTATTAAGGGTGATATAGGCCTTATTTTCCGGCAGGCAGGTTTTTAATATTCTTTTAAACAAACACAGCTTGAGCTGAATACATAATTGTGTCAAGCACTGACATAATTTTGAGTTTCTCTTTCGCAAACTGAATGACTTATTGCTGCGTGATGTGCCACTTTGTGAACATTGTATAAAATTAAAATGAAACTGAAATGAACGATACATCAATAATGAATATTATACCTTGCAAAAAACTCATTTTCCTCGTTCCATGTGAACTTTTAAGTATTAAAAGTATTAAAAAAGAAACATAGATGAATATTTTTTCACTTTGTGAACATTGCATAAAACTGAAATTAAACTAAAATAAACGATACATCAATATTGAAAGTAACTCCAAGCTAAATATTCATTTTCCTCGTATCATGTGGACTTAAGTATTGAAAGAAACATCGGTGAATATTTCGCCTAATTTGTAGAGATGTTAATTGGAAGAAGCTGATCGCAAGGCGTTCAAAATATATGTCTGACTCTTCTACAAATTCTCAAATAGTTGCCATCGTTAGGTGTTGCCGATGAAAGGTTCCCTGCTTACAGCAAGTTAAGCTGGTGTAACTGTAACCCTCTAAAGAGCTACCGTACTGTCATGTATTTCTCAGTGACGCCCGCATACACCAGAGGTTTTAGGGTAATACTTTCAGTTGTCGAAGTATAAGGGAGTCAAGCCATATATGAACGCTTATTTCCTTGAGTTACTTCTTGGGGTTGGCTGTTTCTCAACTCCTTATAATGATCCAGTTTATACTCTTTACCTTGTAGACCTTCAGTAAGAAATGTTTCGGAAGCGTTGGACCGTGATATTACGCTTTTAATAATACAAATATCAATGACATCGAGAACATACTGAAATTAAGTTTATACTTTGATTTTAAAAGTACTAATTTTTGGCATTTGCGCTTTGTTTTCGGAGTGCGGGTAAAAGTTCCAGTTTTGACCCATAACATCGCCACAATTGATCTTATATAGTCAGAATAAGGTGTAGAATTGAAGGCAACTATTTCTGTCATCGAAGTTTATCAATTTTCATGACAAGCGGAAAAATTATTCCATAAGAAAATCAGGATTTTTTTGAGTGTGCTTCGGAAAATCTCAGCTTGATGATTTCGGGAATTTCCAGTTGTTAGTCATTTTTTAACTGAAGCTCGACCAGAAGACGTCTTAAACTACAGCTAAACCCGAAGATTATATCCCGCAGTCAGAGACCGAACAGAAGATATTTCTCTCGAACCAGAGTCTTCGTCCCTAAGTTTTTGTGGTTCTGATTCAGACTTTGACAATGAAATATCAGGGTTACATTTCAAACCAAATTATCATCATTTACAATTGATCTATTTGCCTGAAATAAGTTTTTTTCGCTCAGGCTCTTTTCACGCGTAAGGAGGAGATCGGGCTTAAAAGAAAACATTACATCCCAAGATCATGCGCATTGAGGTTATGAGAATTAAAGAAATGATCGCGAACTCGAGAATCTCTAGATTGTTCGACAATTTCTCCTTGTATGAAAAGTATAGAACAGTATTGAGAACTTGCATACTGAAGTAAAGGGTTAAAGCTTTATTCTTCCTTCCTACTACAAATATCAACTACTAATTCTGGTTCGTTGGCCTCTTCAGTCCACCGCTAGAAGAGAAAAAATAAATATGAAATTAGGGTCACCTGTTACGGAAATTCAAATGTATGTGACTCTGAAGGAAAGAATGTGGCTTGAAGATTATTATGTTTCAACTGATGGAAACTTATTGGTCGAAAGACATGTGCGCAAAGTTCTGGGAGTTCCCCAGAGAGCATCACAGTTTTTTCAAAATTGCATTTTTTTAGACCCGGAGGATATTTCTTTTGTTTCTCTTACCATCATAAACCAGTCCTGTCCCTTATCCATTTGGTAAAGGTACTGACTCGGGCGAACACTGTAAAGTAGTCGGTCCTACAGTACTCGTGACCCCAACTTACAGCTCCGCGGAGAACCCATCGCCCGTTTTCATTGCATACAAAAGGTCCACCGCTGTCTCCCTACAGATATTGAGAGAAAATTTATTCAAAAATAAATAGTCATAAAAACCAAATGGATGCAAATGAATAAGGAAATGAAAAACTAACAACACAACTATGGTCTCACAGAACGAGATATAAAAACAAACGAACACACAAAAAAACCGGTGGTAGGAATCGCATACACTTGCGATAGCTCGTCGTCAACAAATAAGTTAGCACTTGGTGCGCACGTTAGAAATTCCAGCCGAATATTTTCTGAGCTGGCCCCTCTCATCTGGTCAATAAAGTGAGAACTTATTAAAATAATTCGATTTATCGATTGATTAAAACAGTGTCTGTGCGGTTACCTGACATCCTCCGCGTCCCTGTCCTCCAGCGCAGATCATGGTGTCACTGTATACGCGACCGAGCCTTCCGTTAACATAAGAACATCTTCTGTCATCAGCAACTGGCAGCATTGCTTGTTGAAGAATGTTAGCTCCATATCCTCCTCCAACTGTACGCCCCCATCCTTATTTTGTAAACGAAAGATAAAAGAAAGCTCATTTATTCAGTTGATCTTTCAAGCCGGCGTAGCGCCGATGGAAGCGATACAATTTACACAGCGTGCGTCCTAATCTCAAAGGAGCGAAAAAATCTCAGACCAAATTTGAACTCTGTCATTGAAGTTTATGGACGTTGAATGGTACAAAAAAATTACGATTTATGTGTTCCGGTTATAACCTCATTCTACCTGTGATGTAACATTGTGAACCAGGCCGAGCTCTACTTCCTTGTTGTGGCAGACAAACAGGTTTTGCCTTGTAACTCATCCGGATTGGCCTGTTTAGTTGCAGAAGAGCTACATCGAAATTCAATTGTCCATATCGCTCATGCATAATCACTCTACGTAATCCAAATATTTGGTCTTGACCCGGCCGCTCTCTTTGGGCATGTAGTCCTATGAACAAAATGAAGTTTAAGCCTGTTTAAAACCTTGGAAAGAAGGTTAACTTCTACAGAGAGATTAAAAGGATTGTCAAAGCAGAAACCTTGTTAGCCAATTTCAGCACAGGCTACAAATGTGGGTGTAAACCTTCATTTCCAGTTGGCGAGCAGTTCTAAAACGGTTTTCAGAAAACCAAATAATTATTTCCGCGGTGTTTTTCAAATTTTAAACTCCAGATGACCAGTGTTAATTCAATTGTTCATCAATTCCTGTAAATTAAAGAGGCATTTTGTGTTCGGCCCAAATGATGTTAAAGCTAGCAATAAGGGAGCATTAATAACTCCCTTAAAGATTAATTTTAGCTACTTCTTGATACTGAGTAGTAAAAAAGATTCAAATAATTATCTATAGAGGGGAAATAAAAAGAAATATCAATGTGCTACCTACTGAAAACCGGTTGCAAGTCAAGAGCGATGTATTTTGTGTAATATTAGTGACAAATTCAAAAGTAATATTCGTATAACTAGCTCGTGGCTAATTACCTACAACAACAGAATATCCCCTGGGGCTCCGATCCTTTTCGACACAATGAGAAGCAGTCAAAATCCACCAGTTACTTATGATTGATCCCCCACAAATGTGCCCACCCCTGTACCGTAGTGAGATCTGCCAAGGCCAGGCGTGGCGCTGAGCATTCTGTCCATTTACCACTCGAGATGCCATGCGCATTCCGCAACCTATAAGAAGGGAATGTTATGAAAAACCTAACAGAGAAAATAACCCCTTCCACTGAAACTTTCGACAAAATTCCACTACAGCTAACAAAACCTTAGAGCAGCCATCGCGTTCGAAGAAAAACAGTGATCCAAGAAATAAATTAAAGATTCATCTATCTGCATGAAGCGTTGGTCTAAACTCCGGCTGGATGGGACACTTGGCTTGAAAACACACTGCATTCTTTTTCATGCAGCAACAAACAAAAGAAACAGCATTTTAAAATTTTTTGCCCATAAATACGCACACTCTCTTATTTAAGAGTTAGAAACTACAGGCAACTTTGGTGTTCAAACAAGTTATTTTTCCCAGAGATTCTTTCCGATGAAAATTTTGGCAACGACACCAAAAGCACCTGCAGAGTGTCCTAGGAAGACTACATAAATAAGCCCCTTACTTTGGCCGAGAGAAGGTTTGAGAAAAACAGCAGTTACAGCCAATTGCAATAGCACGTATATCTTAAGGGATATCATGTTGACTGTCTAAGTATAGACGATGTACTGCTTTGATGCAGAGAGTCTTTTGGTTTTACCCAAGATCGCTCTGCAACATCTGTGTATGTGCATAAACATTGCAACTATCTTATGAGAACTGTGTATATTTCCACAAGTAATATACTCCACTAACAGGGCTGTTTAAACCAGAGGCATGGCTTTAAATTGAATTTGCTAGTTTTTGATGGATGCTTCGCAGCCTATTACAGAATTGTACGCAACATACAATAACAAATGACATCTATCTTGCTCCATCCTCATCTAAACAAACAAAGCTGCAGACGCGATATTAAATATCAAAGACTCTTCAATTTGTATCGTAATATCATTGTTTGAAAATCTCATTGAAAAATATATCAAATGCTCTTTTTTCTTTCAATCTTTTCTTTCCGCCCGAAATTACTGTTTGCTTTCAAAGAGGTTATTTGCACTGCGAAAAAAAATCAACAATAGTTTATTTACCCACGCAACGTCTAGTGAGCTGGAAAGCTCGTTCAAAATACCTACGTGCTAACATAAAATAGCCTTAAAACATACAGAAATAAAAGTATAGTATAACAACCAGCTGGTTTATCACAAAAAAGCTAAAATGTACAACTACGAATGTCGCTGTATTAGGATTAAGATGACTAATAATTGCTGTAACTAAGAATGGATTATATAGAAACTGAGTCTAGTATACAAGATAAAAGAAAAAATGGAATTAAAATGATTTATTCTTAATCGACGTCGCAAACTTGAATATTAGGTTTCATTTCCTTACTTCGGGTTCAAATGAGTTCCAGATTTTAGCGGCTTGGTAAGTCAAAGAGTTCTTCATCCAGTTAAGATTGAACCTTGGCATGCTAAGATTAACATCACTATCTCTTAAGTTATAAGTTGAGTCATTTAAATTAAAAAAGTCACGAATGTACCTAAGGTTCGTTGCAGGGTAAAGATTTATAGGGTAACAAAAGCGAACTGCAAATCCTCCTGTGTTTTAGAGTTTTCATGATCACAATCCCAAGTAATTCTTGATATGAGATAGTTTTACCGTAACCCAACACAGATCTTAAAATGTAAAAGTTAGCGTCCTCAAGACGACTTGCTTGCACTTTGCCTACAACCAATAAAAGGGGACAGCGGTATTCTGAGTGCGGCAAAACAAAGGAGTTGTAGAGAACTATCATTATCAAACTAATATATAACCAGATAATTTGTCCTATACAAGTATCACTGTATCAGCTTGGCACTTCACGGTTCTTTCATGTAGATTAGACTTAGAGAGATTTTGCAGGTCTTTAAAAGAAGTTGCCCCGAAGAGATACTTGTATCATTCAACCTTACAGTGAGGCTTCCGAGGGGGGCAATGGCTCTTTCAGCTGACTGTAAAAGTCTTGGCCATTTTACTGCAAACGATCAATTTATTTCCATTATGGTTTACAGAAAAAAATGCGGCTAACATTTTTGTAACTTACGGTTAAACCTGTTCTTTAATCGGCTATAAATTATTTTGCGATTTTACGGCCAACGGTCAACCCAACCGAGACACTCTACTGTGCGCACTTACTACAAGCTAATTTGTAACATTTAAGCCTTTGGAACTGGCCTACAAATGCATGGTCTCCCTCGCAATTTTATTGTTCGAGCTGGTTTAGTAACGCTCCGGTGATGCACGGGAGCAATTTGCATGAAAAACCTAGAAGAAGTCTGCGAAGGAACCGGAGCAGTAACTCAGAAAAAAAGAAGGGAGATCAGTTTTAAAATGAGTCTTTGATTGACCAGAACATTTTCTTACATCTGACTAAAGAGACAGACAGCTAAAATTTTTGTCATTGTTAAATTTGAAGCCTACCTGCCCGTTCAATTACTCTTGAAGACAAACCATTTTTCTAAGAGAAAAATATGAACTTAACTTATTGTAGAGCTCTTCAGGAAGAAAAATGTTCAACGAGCGAACATATTTCAAATATTTCTTAAAAAAATCAGTAATCCAGTCAAATCGTGACGACTAATACGAGAAACGAACGTTTAAAATACTCCGTCCAACTATTTGAATTGTGGCAGCTTACTCAGCTCAAAACATTTTTTCTATATGAGTGTTGAGGTTCACTTCAACAATATCTATCACTGTGGTATAACATCAGCAAGTGTGGGTAATTGCATGAACAAATATTGCGCGCAAAAGCTCTGCCTACGGAAATAAAGGTCATTCTCTCCCACTGAGAATGTTAGAAAGTGGAAGAACAATGAAAAAGAAACGTTATTATTTGAGAACCTTGTAGTATCTTGTACTTTTTACTGCATTGAGTTTTGTTCGCAACACTCAGTTTTCAAAGAAATTGCAGATAGTAAAATTTCGCTGACTGTCTGTTGTCGTTTTTTAACGGTTTGTAAGATCTTTCAAATAATAAAGCACTGTATAACTTTTAACCTAACTAAATGTTTAGAGACGCAGATTAAAAGTAGCAAAGATAGCAACATTGCGTATCAGAACTCCCGGGAATTTCGGGATTTAACATCAGTTTTACTTTTAGGAAAGACCGAAAAGTAGAGAACTGGTGATAGGAAAGATAAATAGAAACTAAAGAATTTAATTTTGATTTGAACTCTCAAAGATAAAGTAAAAAGAAATTTATTGCAGGGGGAGAGGAGAATTATATAAAAACTTGAGGGTGAAAGGGCAAGCGGGTAAAACATCACGATCCACTTACATCTCAAGAGTTTCCAAAAGGTTATTTAACTTGATTACGGTCGCTAAAAAGAACAACTTATTACTATACTTGAACAACGCAACTCGTTCCTGACAGCTGGTCAGGTGTTGAAGCAAAGTAACACTAAACATAATGGATAGACATTTAACGTGGGGTATTTGATCTTGGTGCTGATGCATCTCCGATTGCCTCTATACAATAAAATCCTTTCGTGCTACTAAAAGACGCTTCAAATAATTTTGTACACGAAAAAACCTAGTAGATTCTAGTAAGATGGGGAATAAAGTTTTTCCACACATACAGATTGAGATTTCCTTCATATAAGATTTCTGTATTTAGATATCAACTTTGTACTTGAGAGTTCATTCGGTGCAAAGTTTCACAGTTTGCTTTCGAGCTTTTTAAAGGTAAATAAAACTAATGCATTTAAAATTTAGTCGAAATACAATTCATCATGTACCTGTAAACACCAACAGCAATGGAAGATGGAAACGTGCTAATTACAAGATGCTGGCGTTGTTGAAAAGACGTCTGTTGTTAGGCTACGTGTAACAGGGGCGAATGCTCCACATCTCTCAGATAAAAACCAAATTTCCTTCCAAAATTTAACATATCTTCTTATTTTGGCTCGAATGGAATTTTCTCCTGATAAAATCGATACATATTTTCGTAGAGAAACACCATGGTTGAAGAGGCAAGCAGGCGAAAAAACGCAACCATGTACGTCTCAAGAGTATCCATTGGGACAAAAAGGTTATTTAACTTAATTACTGTTGTTAACACGACCGTATGCGAAACAATCTTAACAGACAGCAGCTCAGGTTGACAAAGTAAACTAACATCAAATATAATGGAGAGAAATGTGACATAGGAAACAACGCTTGTTTAAGAGACAGAGATCAATGCAAGATGTTAATTTCTTCAGACATCTGAACCTGTTCATCCAAGAAATGATGCAATAAATGTTACGTAAAACATTTTCAATTTTGCATTTGGCAGCTCACATGTTGCAAAACTTCAAGGCTTTTTTCTTGCTTTTCACTAAAAGTAAAGAGAAATTTATGTGTTTTAAATGGGGCTTTTAAATCTTTGTCAAAATGCAATTTGCCATGTACCTGTGAAAACCAGAAACAATGGAAGATGGAAACTTCCTATTCACATCGCGTTGGCATAGTTGAAAAGAAATCTAGACAAGTAACATGGTGCAAATGTAGCGAATGCCCGCATCTGTCAGCTGAACAAAAATATTCTCTACAAAATACGACGGTATCCCTGACAAAGCCATTTGTGGATCAACTCACTTTGCGATGATGTTGGCACTATTGGCTTTCGCCACAGTTCTTTGCTCTTCTTCCTTCGTTGAAGGTACGGTTTTCTTAATGCCTCATTTCCAAACTATCCCGCCTAATCTTATTAAAGTTTCTTATTTGTTCTCTTTGCAGCCGTGATTAATTCTGTCTCTTTCTTCATTTGTACTTTTAAATTATTATCATTAACTCACAGTGATTAATTTGTTGATAATGTATATCAAAGAATTACGCGCGTCTGATTGGCTGAAAACGAGTGCATTTTTCATGTAACATGAGTCCTAAATACAAAAAGCGCGTGTGCGCTGCCAAAATTTCGTCTGTAATGCGTTTTTCGTGTAAATTATTAAAAAGTAACCACATGATTTCGACTGCAATTTATTGTGAAGAGGCACAAGCGCATTTTGTTACTCATATCAATCTTTTTTTTTCCACATCTTAAGGTTGCGGAACCCGAATCTCAGGAGCACGTGTGGTGGGTGGCGATGATGCAGCCCCTCATTCTTGGCCATGGCAGATATCCCTCAGGGTCCGTGGAACTAATCACATATGCGGGGGCTCCCTTATTAAACCCAATTGGGTGATAACTGCTGCGCACTGTGTTAGCGGAAATCTCAGGCCAAGTTCATACACGGTTGTCGTCGGTGAGTAAAAGTACATTACATTGTTTCCTTTATATATTATTGACAGTTTGTCGATCAATAGAATCTAAAAAGTAACTATCCCATTCAATTCCTAAATGTTAAAAATAAAATAATTTCATAAAAGCGAGATTCTCTGAAGGCAGGCCCTAGTAATCAAGTCAGAACAAATCTCAGAATATAGCATTAGGTTAGAATGAATTATAAATTGAATGTTCACATTTTAAATATACAGAGGTAATTGTGAATTGGGAAGGAAGCGAAGTCTCACAACCTAATTGCGTTTCAGGGGCACATAAAAGGCTAGGTGTGACCGCTGTCCAAAAATCACATAAAGTAAAGAAGGTCATCCGACATAGAGGATTCAGTATGCGTCACTTGAAAAATGACATAGCCCTTTTGGAGTTGGAACAACCCGTTATGTTAAGCAACAAGGTGAACTTGGTATGTCTTCCATCGAGGGGAAGCAGCGCAGTTGTGGGATCAAAGTGTTACATTACTGGTAAATATTACCTTCATAACGAGTGAGATATTGCTCCTATTATTGAATATTTTATTGAATTTTCTTTGATCAAAATTACAACAGTAGATCAAACGCAGCAAATCTTCACACGGAACCGATTCGTGTTGCCTGACCAGCGCGAAAAAAAACTCGAATAACTAAGTAGGAATTGATCCTGATTTTGCAGTTGATTTCAGTTGGTTCAAAGGGTGACAAGGTTTTTCTTATGGTGATGAATCACTGGGCGAAATAAAACAATTAGCTTTCACCAGAAAGAGATACAAAACTATGACCAAAAATATGATAGCAAGGATGCTGACTTCAGTTTCAATCAGTATCTTGCGCTTGAGCTACCTCCTAAATAAAATGGTATTTCCCCCTTTCTTTCAACGTATTCACAAGCACAGTCCCTTTTATGTAAAAAGTAATGCACTGAAGTAAAAATTTGAAAGGTGGGAAGGCCAGTATCATGTTTGATTCCAACTTGAATCACTCAGATTTTAATTCTTCGGGCACAGCCATGCCCTTGACCGAAAGGTTTACGATCTTACAAAAACTAACTTTTCAACAGGCTGGGGAAGAACTGTGGGAGGAGGACCTGCTGCTAACATTCTCCAACAAGGTATGCTACCTGTTGTATCAGACGCCCGATGCAAGAAAAGGAACGGCAACCTTCTCCCTGTTGACAAGACAAGTATGCTTTGTGCCGGAAGCGGAAAGAAAAATCAACCCGGTGGTTGCCAAGGAGACAGCGGTGGCCCCTTTGTCTGTAAAGAAAATGGCAAATGGGTGCTTCGAGGTGCAGTGAGTTGGGGACATAGAATGTGCAAAACCACTAAATACACTGTGTTTGCTCGCATCAGTAACTTCATCGACTGGATAAATCAGAACATATCTGGCGGTAACAGTGGTGGAAACACTAGCGGTAGGGCTTTTTAATGTAGTATAGGTTTGCAAACAAATACAAAAGAAACTAAAATTGAAGCTAAAAAGGCTCTTATTTAGGTTTTACTTCTCCTGACGCATCTCAGTGGGCCGGAGTCTTAATTGTTAGAATCTGATTAGCAAATCGCGCACTTGTGAACGGCCTGCGTCATACAGACCTCCCGCCCGTTGACACACAACTTCTGAAAAAAGAGTTTCAATTATAAATTTATCTTACCTCAGCGAATGTTGCATTTTAATTAGGAAGTTAAAAATCATTGGCTGAAACTTTAGTTGCCAAACAATCAGTAACTGTCCAACTGACTTGGCCGACTAAAAGACTCTTCACTTTCAAGTTCTCATGTCGCTTAAAAACAATTAATCAAAATTAAGGGTTGTTTATAACTAATATTATTCGAGGATTGGCTCAATAAAGAAAAAAAATCCGTTCGTGTTGAAGCTCACGACAAGTTTTTATCTGTGTTGCAGGTAAAGCGTAAAAGATGAAGTCAAAGCGCCAAAGGTATACATTACTTTTTATCCTAAAACTCCCCTCATAAGAGCAACAAAATTTGGCGGCTAATATTAACACTGCAAACTGTTAGATAAAGAAGTTTGAGCCGTGATGTGAAAACAAACGCCGCTTTCCTCATCGAGGAAATGATTACCAAACAACAATAAGATAACGATCTGATACAGTGGAAATAATTTAATAATGATAACGAATATTCTCTATAGAGGAAGTTCCCGTCACATAAAGTGGTTTTCAGGGAGGTCCTGACTAATTACAATCAGTCTCAGAAAGATCTAACTATTGAAACTTAGTAAACTAAAGGTATTAAAATGCTGATAATATAATAAGAGGAAATATCCAAAATACCACAAAGTATCCTCTGAGTAGGTTACGGCTACATTTACAACCAAGTTGCAAGACATGGCAAATGTAAAAGTGAGTGCAATTTTTCAAAGGCTGTCAGAGGTGCTATTGATTTTACTTGTTTTTCGCCCCAGAGGCCGTTTTTTTCAGAGGTCTGAGACTTCTTTGAAATCCTAACTGGCTCAATGTTCTACTTGCAGCCTTTAAAATGTTGCTCGTAGTCGAAGAATTTTCATTAAGGGTTAGTTATGTTGAAAGC